CCTCTCTTAAACTGCAGTCATCAATTTTTTCATAAGCCTAAAAGTGTTATCTCTCACCTTTTGTCTAATAGGTGAAAATTTACTTGAAGAAAGAATTTGAAAAGCATGGAGCAGTGGTAAATGACACCCAGCATGATGCTTTGGTTGAAGACATCTTTGATAAAGAAGATGAAGACAGTGATGGGTTTATATCCGCAAGGGAATTTACATACAAGCATGACGAGCTGTAGAAAAGGGTGGCATAATTTTTTTGGACACAAATAGCAGTGACTTAGACTGTCTGGTTCTCCTGTCATCTTAATTCTGTGTTTTGGAGTTGATGATTGCTGTTGGCAAAGAAACACTTTGTTTATATGAAAGAGAATTTCTGTTCATTATGTACAAATGTTTTAAACTATTTTAAAGTATGAAAATGTACCTCCTTTTATACAGCAAAGACTTGCACATCAGTATTTTTTAAATTTTGTATTAACTTATTTTTCAGAACTGAAACAAACTTTCTAGTTATCCATCATTATGAAAATCAAAATCCAGTTCAATGACTTTCTGTGATTTGTTTGTGTGCTAAGATCACTTTCAGCAACTACTTTATGTATAACTTCTAGCCTGTGGCTTAATTACTTGACTTTCCTTCTTGTGTGTCACTGCTTAAAAAGCAGTGCTGACCTTGGGGGTTTTTCCTGCAGATTTTAAAAAGATATGCTGGAAGGCATCAGCATCTCTTTTTATACATTCGAGAAAATGGTACAAAGCTGAGTGAGAAGAATGATTATCCTATGCTGATTTTGCCCTTCTGAAGGGAGAGTGTTATCACCCATGCCAATAACTGTCTGCATTTTTTGTTGAATTATGTGAACAAGGCAGGAGTTAAATGTCAGACTTTTACTTCTACTGCCAACACCATTCTAGGAAATGTCTGTAATTTGAAAAACAGCAAATTCTGCTTCAGTGCAGAGGTGGTGTCCTTTAAATGTACACACACATTTGTTTTGAAACTCAGAGTTTGCATTCATTGAAAAAGATCACACCTTTGTCCTCTCACAGTTTGAGGGAGATCTTACAGGAGGAAAAGTGTACTGACAGGAGGATCACTATGGCCTGAAGAATAATTTCCATGGGCTTGCCTGCTTTGCAGCTGCATGAGTTGCAGAACTTGTTTCGTGTTCCCTTTGCAGTATTTTTCACAAGCAGGACACAAGTGATGTGAATTTTAAATAATAAAGTGAATTTTTAGGAAAACAGAGGCATGAAGTAAATGTTGTGGTACTGTGTCTTTACAGAGATGGCGATCATCAGGATTTCAAACACAAAATGGAATTGTTTGAACTGTTTTTGGAGAGGAAAAAACATTTTGCAATCATCCATGATTTCTTAAATGAGAGGGCAAGGCATCTCAGGGAAAGAACAAGCCTGTATTCTGACATCACTAACCTATGGGTCTATGAACACAGCACTGTACTTGGAAAATGTTGCCCAGAGCTATGTAAGGACACAAAGCAAGTCCAGTTGTATGATCTCGAGATTGCTGCATTGCACTAATCCTTAACTACTGCCAAGTGAGACTCTGCATTCAAGGTTCTCAATGCTGTAGGCGAGTTAGATGTTTCCCTGCCACCTAGTGTTGCAACTAAGGATTAGAAGACTGCTTCATTAAACAGAGTTCAGCTTATGCACATTACAGATTGCTGCCAATAGTGGCTTGTTTTTTTGGGGGGGAAAAGTGTAACTGAAGGTATGCAGCGGTGGGCAGTTTTCTTTTGTTTTTCTTCCAGCATCTGACATTTTGTGGCTGGTGTTCTAAATGATAAACAATTGTAGCAATGTATTTTGTTTTCAGTAATCTTTAGGTATTTTTCCTCAATGCTGCCATCTAGTTTTCTCAAACCCATTTATACTATTGCTCCTGTGGCAATGAGTTTCACAGTAGAATAGTGTGGGAAAAGATTTCCCTTCGGTTTTAGGCTCATTGCCTACCTACCCTGAGTTTTTTATTGTGAGGAAATAATGAATAATCATTGCCAATTTAGCTCTTCTTACCAATCATGGTTTTGCATAATATTTTTTTCTCATCACTTAGGAAAATCAAGCTTGCCTGACTTCAGCTTGCCAAAGGTTTCTCTCATGTTCTGCGCTGCATGCCTTGATTTCCCCTGCAGTCAGGAGAACACTGGACACCTGGGGGCAGCTCAGCTCATGTGTGTTGTATTGGGATAGAAGCCTCAGCAAATAGAGTTTCCAGTCTTTCTCTGTTGACTATGTGGGGTGGGAACCTAGGCCAAGGAGGGCTAATAGGTTATGAAGTTGATCCTTAAGGCAGTTTTGCCTAGAATGTGGGAACTGGCAAGTACCCCAACAACCAGAGGGGAAATGCTCTGTGTGTGTGCTTCCAGGAATAGCAAACTGATACTTACATTGTGTCTGTCAGTGTTTTACCTTGTCATTTGCAGTGTTTAGCATCTTCTTAGAACGTATGGCTAGGGAGTGAAAGGATAAAAGCATAGGATTAAACTTGGCACGTATTACTGACCAAATATGTAGAAAGTTAAGCTTAACTAACAGGATGCCAGTATGTGATTTCAGTAAGGACCAATTGTTGTTTCTTTTGTATTAAATAGGAATTTGGAGTAAGCGAATGTTGTGAATTGTACATATATGTTTTCCTCTCCTTGGATTTTTAAAGTATTTCATAAAAATAACTTTAATTGAACATATAGTCATTTGTTAATGCCAGCTGTGTATTGAAGCTGCAGGACCAAGATGCTTTATTTGTGTTTTGTGTAGGTTTATGCCAAATGAGAGGATGTTTTTTTTTCTTAGTCACTTTCTTGAGAGCTGTGTTAAACTTTCAAAATTGAACTGAAAATGTTTTTTCAAGAGTGAAGAATCAGCAGCAGATTTGAGAAGTCATTTCAACTTTATTAACATTTGCTATCATTCAAGTCCTCCTGTGAAGATGAAAGGATTTCTTAGGTAGAAATACATGTCGTAACCTCAGTTGCATCTGCTTGTTAATCTACAGGGCAAACTCCTTTAGTGCCAGCAGGAGTCAGACAACAATCTGCAGGAGACCAGAGCCTGTCCCCGAGGAGGGGAAGAATACTCGAACTTCAGAGGCACTTAGCAACATTTTGGCTGGCTTGTGTGTGAAGTGCAAGGGTTTCCCCCAAAGAAACAAACCCTCACTGCGCATCTGTAAAACACAGCACTTGAAGAAGTGGAGTTCAAAATAGAGCACTTTCCTTCTGCATCTTATAGCCTTCTTCACACATTTATTGTTGTTTTGTTGTTTAGGAAAACACATAGTGATGGTTTTTAGAACTGCAGTCTGTCATTCACAGCCACTACCTAGCAATTACAGTGGGAGTTGCTTCTTTCTCTAGGTACAGAAGCAGCCTTCAGAGCACATTTTATTTGAGAATTCTTGATATGCAATGCAATGACACAAGAAAGCTTTTGGCAAAGCTTCAGGAATGCTGCTTATAGTCTGAAATATTTTTTTTAAGGCTTTCTCTTTTGAGATCAACTGACAAGGCAAGCAGTGTTGAAAATGAAGGAACTGCTTTATTTGATCTTGAATCTTTTCAGTACCTTATGTCATAGAACCATGGAATTATTTATGTTGGAAAAGATTTTAAAAATCATTGAGTCCAACCACTAATCCAGCACTGCCAAGTCCACCCCTAAACCATGTCCCCAAGTGCCACATCTACACGTCTTTTAAATACCTCCAGGTGTTTAGGTGATGACTCCACCACTTCCCTGGGCAGCATGTTCCAGTGCTTGACAACCCTTTTCATGAAGAAATTTTTCTTAACATCTTTCTTAAACCTCCCCTGGCACAACTTGTGGATGTTTCCTCTTGGCCTGTGCCTTGTTACTTGGGAAAAAAGGCCGACCCCCACCTCCCTACAGGTAGTTGTAGAGAACGATTAGGTTTTCCCTCTCAGCCTCCTTTTCTCCAGGCGAAATACCACCAGCTCCCTCAGCCACTCTTCATCAGACTTATGCTACAGACTCTTTATCAGCTTCGTTCCCATCTCTGGACACAATCCAGCACCTCAATCTCTGCGAGTGAGAGGCCCAAAACTGAATACAGGATTCAAGGTGCAGCCTCACCAGTGCTGAGTACAGGGGCACAATCACTGCCCTGGTCCTGCTGGCCACGCTATTGCTGATAGAAGCCCAGATGCCATTGGCCTTGGCCGCCTGGGCACACTGCTGGCTCAGTGCAGCCACTGTCAACCAGCACCTCCAGGTCCTTTGCAGCCGGGCAGCTTTCCAGTCACTCTGCCCCAAGCCTGTAGTGCTGCTTGGGGTTGTTGTGACCCAAGTGCAGGACCTGGAACTTGGTATTGTTGAACCTCATACATTTAGACTCAGCCCCTTGATCCAGCCTGTCCAGATCTCTCTGTAGAGCATGTCCTTGTGCTGCAAGGAGCATCCCCAGTACAGAGGTGTTTTGGTGAGTACTGTATGTTACAGTTATAAAATTGCAGTGTTAAGTACATATTGAACAAACTGCTACCATGGTTTCCTCTTCATGTTATTTAAAAGGCAAATGATGCATAGTTTGTTTCCTGAATACTTCAGTGTAAAAATAGGTTGTACAGGTCAGCCTTTAAATTACAATTATCTTTCTCATAAGTGCTCCCCACATCCCATTGTTTCTATTGTTGGATACAAGGTGGTCTCTCCCTTGATCCAGAAATCCTAGTTTCAGATGGTAGGTGAGTACCAGTGGATTGGGAAAGCTAATTGCATTGGGGCATTCTGGGAAAAGATGCTAAGATAGGGAAAATGTGATGAGAGAGTGTGGAATTATGCAGATTGATGTGAGAAATGCAAAAGATTTTGTTTCCTAGATCCTTTGGCATCTGCTTACTTGAAAGAAAGAACACTGCAGTCAGTGATGCAGGGACTGCAAATAACAAGGCTAGTTCCTGATCCAACTTTCACTGGAAACCACTGTTTCAGACAGTTTCTATATGGAGTTTTATGACAAAATTTAAATGCACACTTCCAAGATCTATTAAAGAATATTTAGAAGAGATATATTGAGCTTACTTCTTGAAAATACATTGGCCTCATCATAGAGCTTTTGCAAAAATCCTCAAAACACAGCTCAAAACCCACTACCTCCAAACCCTTTAATTTATCTTCAATGCTGAATTGGTTTTGGTGACAGAAAATAAACCAAACATGCTTATATTTGTATAATCCTGGATAATTTTATCTTCTCTTGAAAGTTCATCGTAATGCTTACATTGTGTCCTAGTTTTCCCCCATGAACAAACTCTCTGACAAAATAAGGATCTTTCTTTAGCTATACTGCTTCTGTTTCGGTGCCTGTGCTTGATTATGTCAACAGTTCCACACAAGAAATATAATTGACAAGCTCAGTAGGAGGCTATATAGGGACAAGGACCTTTGTTATCATCTCTTCCAGCCTGGAGGGAATTCAGATGGAGGCCCCTCCTGCATGACGTTTCTTCATCCTAGCCGTTTCTGTTCAAAAAGAAAGCTGATTTAGCAAGGAGCTGAACCTGGTTAGGTAGTGTGGTGGTTCTGTTCTCTTGAATGTAGGAGCTTGGTTTAGCTGAGAAGGTTGCAGTGAAGAGAGGATAGTTTGAAACATGACAGGTAAGTAATTTTGTGCAAATTTTCTGAAGGTCATGTTCCTGGTGGAGGGCTGGATTTTATCCAAAGGGTTAGTATTTTTTCCTTGTTTTTTTTTTTCCCCTTTTATTTTTGTCTGCATCTATGTTAGGTAAACAAGGATAAACTCACTTTTAAAATATTTGGGTCTGACTGTAGAAATCCAGTGAAGCTGACTCTTCAGAGTGCCCCAAATCCCAGTTATATTTTCTGCTAAAAAATCTGAGACTGATGCTAACTAACATTAAGAGCTGCTCTTCATTTTAGACACAATGCTTCTAATTTCTAGTTTGTGTCATGACCTGCTTAAGGAGATTAAATGATGCAGGATAATTGATTCCTCATCTGGGAGTCAGACTGAAAGTATTAAATCAATCCTGTCCCCTTTAATGTTATTGCCATTGAAATTTCTTTGAAGAAGCTCTGTTTCCTCTTCTGCCTCTTTCCCTGCATAGTGAACTAGCTAATACTATTTCTTTTGTGTGCTTGGCCGGCTTTTTCTCTGGGAATAAATAGCAGACCTTAGCTCTGGTCTCTCTCATCTGCTGGGATATGTCTTTAGAGAATAGGTTTTCATTCCACAAATACAATGTAAAATGTTTTTGGTGATCCTGTGTCCATCTCTGGGTATGAATTCTATAGGTCTATAGCTAATGGACTAATTGTAGCTTATAGAAAATTATGACCTGTTGGATTTTACTCTTAGCAACACTGACCACAATACTTAAGAGAGGTAAGACTGGTGATGTTCCTTTCTTTTAACAGAAGGTAAGGATTTACGTTTGCAACCAGTATTTCAGCCCTTATGTGCCATCATGTCATCACTGCTATTGTCACTACTGGTGACTTAATGTGGTCACATGGATATCATGATGTGCATGTGCACTCTGACGTAATTCAACACTCCACCTCTGCGCAGCTCAGACTGAAGCAAAGCTCCCAGAGACGTAGTGCTCATCTGACAGCTGGCAAACAAGCACAAACTGCAGTGGGAACATGTATGGAGCAGAAATGGCCGATGCTCCTCTGCATTGGGTACCAGATTCTGTCACTGCTAACCTGAGCCAAGCCCAGCTCACCACAGCACCCTTGGGAACAGCCACAACCTGCCATTCACACAGTGGTGGGGTTGTGTGGAGACACGCTGGTGGGGTGGGCTCTAGGGCACCAGTTCATGGGCTCTGCCAGACCCCTGCTGGCTTTGGACCTTCACACCTTGTTTCCTGAGCAGGCAGCTGTGGGATGTGTCAGTGCTTCAGGACAGACCGGAGTGGCACCAGCCAGGCTCATGCTGTCACACCTCTGCCTGGATGTATAGTTAAAGGCAGGCTTGAAGAAAATATCAGGGCCCACCCTTGCACTGGGGAGGGAATAGCAGAGAAAATAAGCAGGGGAATATCTCTCAGTACCATCCAGTTTTTCTTGGCTGATGT